ACACGTTTGGTTTAGCGGTGGGAGGGCGGATTTATTAATTTAGATCCAAATCTTAAAGTTCCTAAATTTTACCCTCCCGGTTTTTTCCTCCATGGTATTGAACTCTTCATTATTGGACACAATCAAAAGCAGTGAACAATAGTGATGCATTACCAAAAAAAAGTGAAAAACAGTCGTAATTAATTCACTTGGCCACCGACCGTGGAATAAGTCAAGTTTTTGACTTATTATGTCCGATTATAAAAAGCGAAAGCAACACACGTGTGATTTTCGGATCATCTTAAACCCTAAACAAGGAAGACTTCGGATTTAGTGAAGGACACGATCTTGACTTCAACTGTATCGTTGACGAGGAAATATAACGATTCAGATCGAACTAATTTGAATAAGTTTAAATGAATTAATTTGGTTACCTATATTATTAAAGTACAAAAAATATTTATGTGTTTAATTTAATTTAGTTCAAATAGTTGTTTTATGAAAACTAAAAATATTTAATTATTAATATAAATTGGAACAAGAAATGCAACAACTTTCCGATGAAAAAAATAGACAGAATAAGAAACAAAATAAAAGTGAAGATAAAACTTTTTAGAGAATAATTAATATGCGTTACCTATTGCGATATGATTATTTAAAGTTTATAATAATAAAAAGATGAAGCATCATCAGTATGTTACTATTAACACATTAGAAAAAGTTATAGTTACTTTTTTGTACAAACCTGAGCTACAATCAGTTTATCAAAAAATAAAATCTTGTAGATTCTATGATCGAGAAGAAACAGAAAAATGGAAACACTGACCAAACTATTTAACAAACTCTCCCATCTTATGTCTTCTACTATTATATACTGAAATGATCAAATTTCCGGTTTATACTGAAATGATCGTACTAAAATAAACATCAGTTTCTTGAATATATTAGCCGAAATTTTGAGTGTTGTGGAATATGAAAGTACTAATTAATGATTCTTCCAAATCATGATATGAGAGTTGTGAAAAGGATACAGTAAAAAAATTATATTTTTTACACTAGAAAGTCAATTTATACCGAAAGAAAAATATTTTTCTTATTTGAAATAGAAATTTTATTATTTGAACTCATCACATTGTGTATACGCCTATAAATCTCCATCATTATAGTTTTCATAAAAGTAACCAATCTATTTCTTATATAATTCCATACCACACAAAATATTTTTACCCATCAAGCTTTAATAACCCCACACATATGTGCATGCATAAAAAATTAATAAAAATTAATTAATTAATAATATATATAATTTATAACAAATAAGTGATTGACTTATTCAGTAATATATTTGTAAAAAGTTTTAGTTTGTAAAAAATGACTTAATAGGTTTGAGAAGTTGTACATAACAAAAATAAAAATATTTTTGAAAAATATTTTTCAAAAAACTTAAAATAAAATAAAATGATTCTTCGTTATTCTTTATTTTCTATTTTTTATTCATAATCAACTATTTTTATCTCATTCCATCACCTTTCGCCCCGTTCCTGGTTCGTAATTTTCGCTATATAATTGGAATAAATTCACATATAATATAAACTTTTATTCTTTATTTATAGTGGGACAAGATAAGATGAAAATAAAAATGAATAAATTCTCCTTTTAAAAATCTGATTCCGCAAATTTTACACAAACATTCCAACTTGTAAATATTTCGATTTTGTGAATTTCCCGCGAAAAAGTGAATTCATAAAAAAAAATTACCAAAAAATTTATATTAAAAATGTGATTCCAAAAACTTCCGTGAAAACCTGATTTTAGAAATTTTCTGCCAAAAATATGAGATTGTATTTTTCCTACCAAAATATTTATTTTAAAGTATTTTAATTTGATTTCGTGGCCAAATATTTTGAATCATAAAGTTTATGTCAAAAATGTGAATTATATATCAAAAATATGATTTTGTTAAAAAAAATTTCCGTCAAAAGAAGTGGATACATAAATTGTGTGTCAAAAAATTACTTTATAAATATGATTAAAAAAATCGTCAATAATTTGATTTCACACTTTTTTAGCCAGAAATTTTGATTTCAAAAAATTTATATCCAAATTGCGATATCAAAAAACTTTATGCCAAAATAGATTTCTACAAATTTTCTGTCAAATTCTTGAAATCTGTAAATTTTCCGACCAAAGTTTTGTGTCGAAAATGTGATTTTAAATGGGGGAATTGCTAAATATGACTCAAAACTTGAGTTGAAATGCAAAACTAGACCTCCTATTGCATATTTGACAAAAATAACTCACAGAGGTAGTAAAATTACAACTTTAACCCTTATGACTAAACAAAAAAAGGCCAACCTCAATTACTATTTTATCCTAGAGAATACTACTTTTTAATAATATGTTTACATTTAATTTTAAAAATCATAAAAGATAATTTGATAAAAAAAAATTAGATACATAACAACAAATATATACTTTTTTACACCTATTAAAAATAAAATTTGACAGAAAATAATCAATTTAAATCATCATAGATAAATTAGGATAAAAATCAATACTAAGAAATTTCTCGAATAGAATAATTGACCAAAAAGTCAAATATTTTTCAATTGCAAAAATGACTTGCGAGAAGTCTACTTACGAAAGTAGAGTTCTCAGAGAAGTCTACTTTGCATAGAGAAGTCTACTCTACAAAGTCAAAGGTTGATCAATTTCAAAAATGACCTACTTCTAAAGAAGTCTACTCGAGAAGTCTACTCCATTTTTTTTTGTTATCAAAGGAAATAGAGTAGACTTCATTCGTACCAAAAGAAGTCTACTTTTTCATGCGGTCAATTGCAAAACTAACCTGGGTGTTGACTAGTAGACTTCATTCGGACCGAGAAAAGTCTACTTTCAGAGTGTTTTCGTAAATAAGTGAGGAAGATGAGGATTAGTTGGTCATTTGGATTTCCGAAAATAAAAGAAATTAATTAAAATAATGGAAATTTCGTGAATAACTGAAACTATGAAGGATTGTTTGGACACAAAATGGCAAATGTTGGGAAGGTGATTTTTGTGGGTTAGATTTGCAATTCAAATCAAATTTTAGGTCATTTTTGCAAGAATCCCATTTTAAATCTATTTGACAAAAATATCATTTCCCAAATTTTTGGTTAAAAACTTGAATACTTAAATCATGTTATATATGAATTAAATAATATAATATCACAAGCCATGTGTCCTATAAAGTGACATGTCACAGTTACATCATCAGTACACGTTATTATTTCCACATCACATTTGAATTGTTCAAAGTAAACACATCTGTGCATATGACATGTTAACAAGAAAACATACAAAGAATTATACAGGTTGGTCCATTTGCTATGTTGTATTAAACTCAAAAAAAATTTGATTTTTGAGTAATGCTTTATTTCAATCTATAATTTCAAAATATAATATCAATATGTATATATTTTCAGTTAGACCATATATATAAGTGTATAACAATCAAAAATTGTAGGATGATACAGAATAAGAAACAAGTGAAATTAAGGAATTACCCAGCAAGTAGATTGGATGAACGACAAAATTGGATCATATTTTGCTACTAAATTTAAGGTCTTACAATTCAACATTGAATCTGATTTTTATGTACTATAAGAAGTTAAAATATTTAAAATAGGTTTAAATATTGTATTTATATGTATTATAGTTATATAATTACATTTTTAAAACTGTTCATACCCGCACATGTATGCAGGCCAATTTTCTAGTTACATTATAAAAACTTAAAAGAATGAAAATAATATTTTGTTTTTGGAAAAAACACATAGAATGGAATGTTAATATCTTTTATATCAAGAAGAAATGACACATGTTCAAAATAAATTTATCTATACATTTAAAAATAACTATGATAAGTTTATATGTATGAGTTTGTCGAAGATAAGTTAAAATGTATAGATCTTGACGAAACTTTGTCAGTTACAATGTTCTTGGTAGACGAGTTTATATGGCTAGGATGGATAATTTATGAATATGTTTGTGTAGTACAAACTCATATAAATTTTATTGGTGGATGTATTTGCGTGGAAGCAGTTGTGTGGATGTGTTATGTGAATGCGCAATTTTGAAGTACATGATTTGTATTATGATTAAATATATTCTCGGGTATATGAAAGATACTATTGTAAACACAGTTTGATGTAATAATTATTTTGGAATCATTGTAAAAATATACATATAAGAGCAAATAATATACATAAGCGGATATAAAAAAGAAATTGTACGTTTGATGCTAGATTTGTAGATGGCAACTTTTAGACAGCAATTTTGCCTCATACTCTAACAGCAACTTGTCTTTTTATTTGGCTTCCTCTTCATTTTTTTTCAACATACAACAAATTTTTGACTTGGTCATTATCATTACCACTTCATCATTAAGATAATGATGATTATAGATTTGTTTTTTAGTATGTGTCTATACTAATTCGTCCATGCTAAATTGTCTAGATTAAATTATCTATGTAGAATTTATGATGATAAACTGATCATCTATGCACATTCATCCACAATTGCACATTCATCCACAATTGTTGTTATTTAAAACGAAAAGTGTCTTTTCGCATATTTAAAATATTCTAATTCATTTTGATAGTTTTTTTCGCATATTTAAAATATTCTAATTAACCTTGATGGTTTAATTTGTTATGTAGTTTGGCAAAATGTCTTCCACTATAAAATTCTTAAAAAAATTAAAGATGCCAACAAATTAAAGAAATTGCCGTGAATAGATGAGATTTGTTTCTCTGTTTAAAAAGTACTAAAAGGTAAAAATCAAAAACAAAATGATTTGAAAATAAGTATTACTATTTGGGCCTAAAATTGAGTTTTTGGGCCATACTATTTTCGGCGTTCTAGATTTTAGCCTTCTTCTCAAGATAGTAGTATATACAGAATAAATCACTCTCTCGCTGTCGTCTCGTCCCTCTACCCACTTCGCCATCTCCGGTGTAGATTTCATCACATCTCCTTGAATGATGAACTCTCCTGACCTCGATGAGCAATTAGAAGCCGATGTATACAGTAACCTGCCTTCTCAAAATGATTCTTCAACAGGTTCAAATTCTGATTTTATCACGCCTTTGATTTTTCCGTTCTCAGTACAGAAATCCGATTGTACCGTTACTTGGATTTCAGGGATAACGACGAGGAGAAATCGTAGCTCGCTTAGATCGAAACATTCAGAGACAGAGCAACGAAGAAGAAGCAAAATCAATGAAAGGTGAAGAATTAAAAAAATTTGATTTTTTTTCTAAAAAGGGTTATATAACTTGAAACTTGTTACTTATTTGTATTTTTATGGGTACAGGTTTCAGAGTTTAATGGATATTATACCTCAAAATGATCATAAACGAGATAAAGCGTCTTTCTTATTGGAGGTAAAAGAAGATGTATTATGTAATTAATATATATAAGTTTTGACAAGAAAGTATGTTTCAATTCTAGATGTTTATCTATTTTGCTTTTTTACTTGTCTCAGGTTATAGAGTATATTCACTTTCTTCAAGAAAAAGTTCAGATGTATGAAGGATCTCACCAAATGTGGTATCAAGCCCCAAGCAAATTGATTCCATGGGTATTCACTTTCTGTTCAAATTGATAGTTTTGTTATTATATCAAGAAGAAGTATTGTTTGCTTCATGAGATTTTATTTGTTCTGAAAATCTCATCTTTGACAACTGTTTCATGTAATGGTGATGCAGAGAAATAATTATGAGCCTGTTGTGGAGGTCACTGACCACCCTGAGATCGTTAAATGCTTGTCAAGTAATGATAAAGTTTCTGCTTCTTCCGGGTTTCTCTCGGATATGCAAAGACCTGTGGATCTTTATGTCGACGACTCAGCAGCTAGAGCTAGTGCCAAGATTCTCGAACAGAGTCATGTTTCAGCAGTCTCGTCTTATGAACTTACCGAGCCTCCGCTGGAGTTTGTTCAGCATGACTTTTGGCAACCAAAACCAACTAGTGAATCAAATGTTTGCAATACAAATGAATCGTTGAACTCGGACGAAAAAGCATCAGCGAGCTTGTCCACTGTCTGCTCACAAAGGTAAGACATATGTAGATTAAGAAAACTTTCAATTTTGTTTTCACGTAATTAATTCGTTTTGTTGGAAGTAGTCAGGTGCTTAGGGTTACCTTTAGTGGATATGATACAATATCTGAATAATTCCTCAGCATGTTTCTTTTTCGCCTTATATAAAGTACTGGAGGATAGAGTTATAGAGTAAAATGGTATAGATGCTGCAAACTTAGGAAATCTTATAGAAATAGATTTGCCATAACCATAATCCAAAGTCTCTCTTTAGAATAATGCTTCTCTCCCTTAATAATAATGGTGCTGTTGAATATGCAAAGTCAAGATTCTAACTGCTACTGTACTTAAATAGACTCAGGGTTCCAAAAGGGAAAAACTTAGGGAAATTTCATAATAGGGATGTTTGATTGAAGCTGATATAGGTTTTGGTTTGATTTTTGGAATAGGGTACTACACACTCTAACTGAAGCACTTAAGTCATCGGGTGTCAATATGTCAGAGACAATGATATCTGTGCAGTTAAACCTTCGGAAAAGAACAGATCGCGAGTATCCTGTCACTGCTTTTGCTTCTGAGGTATGCCTGTAACATTTTTACATTGGACAGAAATATAAAAGAAAAGAAAAGAAAATTCCACTACTCTGCAAGTGATTAATATACATTTGTGCCCGTTAATCTTAATTTGTATTTTGATGTTTTTGTCTTTTTCGTTAGGATAACTGTAATAGCATCCCGGATGAAGAAGGGGATTTTCCTACTGAAACTATAAGCTCATGCAAAGATTTAGATCATTTCCGAAAGAGGACAAGACGATAAGAGATCTGGTTTCTTATTTTCTACTTTATGACCACTGTTTGGTAATTTTGTTACTTTCGGTGAGTCAGTTTCATTTCTTGTGAGGTATCAGTAGGGTTAGATTGGGGTATATAGTTGTGATTCACTACTTCTACCGAGCTGCAACTGTTTCACACTAAGTAGAAGAGGATATGTAGCAAGTTTCAGAAATCATAATGAGAGGTTACTTACTCATTACTTCATTTAATGCTCTCTTTTCAAGTGTATCGCCTTACATATATCAAATCTTACCCTTTCTCTTTCACACACTGTTGTACTCAAACTAGTACCTACGATTTGTGATTGTTGACATGTCTATATCGTGTAGTGAGTTTGATTTGTTATTAGCGATTCCATGTTGTCTTAAGTTTGATTTGAGCCAGAGTGTCTAGATATAAATATCCAAGAACAAATGCAATAATCAGTAGAAGTAGAGAATTCATCTTTATTCTTTACCCTTGTATAAACACAACTGTCATATACAACATACAACAGATTGTGCATCTCTCTCAATTACAAGTATATATATATTGTATTATAATACTCTTGTTCGATTAAGGAGGCTGTTTGTTTGCTGAAGTAGATGAAGCAGGAGGAGGGCCAGGGTTGCGTGGTGGTGGAAAGAATGGGAATGGGGGAAATGGGAAAATCGATGGAGGTGGAGGAGGAGGAGGTGGTGGTGGTGGTGGCGGTGGTGGATATAAGCCTGGAAAGATCGGTGGCAGTGGAGGGAAGTAAGGCCGTGGTGGAGGAGTACTTGGAAGAGGAGGACGAGGCTTAAATGGGTTTGGAGGGAAAAATGATGGAGGAGGAGATGGAACTGGAGGAGGAGGAGGTTGAGGAAAGATTGGTGGGAATAACGATGGAGGAGGAGCGGGAGGAGGCTGAAGAGGACGAGGCTGAAATGGGTTTGGAGGAAAAAATGATCGAGGAGGAGGTGGAGCTGGAGCTGGAGCAGGAGGAGGCTGTGGAAAGATAGGAGGGAATAAAGATGGAGGAGGAGCAGGAGGAAGCGGAGGAGGATGAGGCTGAAATGGGTTTGGAGGGAATATAGATCGAGGAGGAGGTGGAGCAGGAGGAGGCTGAGGAAATATCGGAGGGAATATCGATGGAGGAGGAGGCTGAGGAGGATGAGGCTGAAATGGGTTTGGAGGGAATATCGATGGAGGAGGAGCAGGAGGTGGCTTTGGAAACAATGGAGGAAATATTGATGGAGGTGGAGGATGAGGCTGAAACGGGTTTGGTGGGAAAATTGAATGAGGCGGTGGAGGCCGAGGAAATATTGGAGGCAATATCGAAGGAGGTGGAGGTTGAAACGGGTTTGGTGGGAAAATCGAAGGCGGTGGAGCAAATGGGTTTGGTGGGAAAATCGAATGTGGTGGTGCAAAGGGGTTTGGAGGAAGAAGCCATGGATGTGGGAAGAAGAAGAACTTCTTGTCTGGTAAATTTTTTTTTGAAGCTGCTTTGTTTTTCAGGTATCTTGATAATCTCTTCTTCTTCTCTTGAAACTGAACCTTACTTGCTTTCCTACTTTGTTTCAGAATCCGTCTAGGCTTTCTCTTTGGATGATGCTTCATTTCTCCATTTCTTGAACACCTTTTGATCCTCCGAGTTTGCTCGTCTGAACCGGTTTTCCATTTCTTGAACACCTTTTGACTCTCCGGTTTTGCTTGTCTGAATCTGCATTTACTAGATGAGTCTGCACAAATCCACATAGAAAAGACAAACTTCTCAGAACAGAGAAAAGAGAAGTTTCTCAATTCTCGATAGTCATACTAAAAACAGTTTGTGTTGATTGATACCTGAGACTGAGACTGAAACTGAGAAGAGGTTATGGTTGTTGCGATGGATAGTGTCAGCGATCCTTACAGGTGCTGCCTTTGAAGAATGATTACTGAATGTTATGGCTAAGGCAATGAAGATGAGAATGAGAAGAGAAGACATTGTGGAGATCTGTTTTGCTAATACTCGAAAGTAGTTTTGTTCTTTTTGATATAAGACAGACAGAAACATGACGTTTTTCAGAAAGCTTTTTTGTCCTTTTCTGTCTCGTGATTCGCCTTTTCTGTATAACTCAGTTTCTGGGAAGACAAGGAACAGAAACCAAGAAACTGTGTGTTTATTATCCCTTTGTTTATGATATAATTATACAAAATTCCAATAGTATTATTCGGGGTAATGAAATCATCCAAAATTCTTTTTAAATACCATAGAATAAATTTTACTTTTAAGCTTTAAGTTTACAAAGGGGTACATAAATCATTTAGTAATCAAATCTTTTATAAAATTTGAGATTCATATTTGTGAAATGTTTAATTTGGCTGTAATTTTGGAAATCAAAACTGAAGATATGATATTCTCAAAGGTTGTACAATGTTTATCAAAACTTAAGTAAGATCTTCACATTAAGAAATAAAGGGTTGTACAATCATATAATATATAAAAGTTGATGGCATAGTGCATTGAGTGCGTCACATGAAATTAAAAAACTCGATCTGATTGGTCCACATTAGCATATTTATTAAATAAAAAAATGTTAAGTATGATTAGGATGGAAAAACTTGATTTAATTGGTCCACATCAGCTTTTAAATCAAACCAAAAATTATTAAGTATAATTAAAACATTAAAAGTTAATTTAACAAATTATGTCCAACAAAAAAGTAAATTCAATCTGATTGATCCAAATCAGCATATTTATTAAATCAGAAAATGTTAATATGGTTTAAAAATTTAAAAGTTAAATAAAAAAAATTAACAATTAACAATATATGTATTAAAAAAATAACCATTATCAATTATCAATTTAAAAAAAATCTACAATAACTCGATTTAACAATGAAAACTGAATAAAATTATAATACAAAACTCTTGGAAGACATGATGGAGAAGGAAAAAATAGTTTTGCATGATCATTACAGCTTCCTAACAAAATTAAATGTGAATCAACATGAATCATAGATTATATATACAGTGGTACACAACATCAATAAGACTTTCAATTAAAAACTAAATATTTGAACATATAAACCTTCAAGAAAAAAGAACTATATAAATTCTATAGAGAACAAAAAATAATACCAAAATCTTAGCAATATTATATTTTTCTAAATCAAATGTATATGTACGTCAAAGTTAGATAATTCGATAGGTGTCATTGTTATTATTTTACATAATAGTTTTTTAAAATTAATAAATAAAAATAGGATAAATTACACATTATATATTAATTTCTCTTATATAAATGAAAATTTCTATAAATATATATAATTTTTAATGGCTTTAAAAATAGTAACTAAAAATAAATAAACCAAAATATTAATACAGACTCGCGCTCGCGTAACGCGAATTATATACCTAGTAATTATCAAAACTTAATTAAGATCTTCACATTAAGAAATAAAGGGTTGTCCGAATTAAGACTCTTAAGACAATAGTTGTGCGACAACAATATTCAAACTTCACGAGAGTTTAATGTGTCAGAGTATTCTTCAAAAGTAAAACTCTCACGATCGTTACTTGTACACATCACCAAAGTAGTTGGCAACACAAACAGTATTATATATCCCTCAACATTCACATTCAAATATTGAAGCTAAAAAGGAAAAAATAAAGGCTAACAAAGTAACAAACTTTTTGCAGAAGGAGAAAACTAATCAATAATGAATGTAACACAAACCTCGTGGTACAAAGCTAAAGACTGAACCTAATCAAACCGACAAAACACAAATGTAAAAACAAACCTGAGGAACTATATAATGACACACGAACAACTGTTATTAACAGAGAAGAAGAGTTACCATTTTCTTTACAATCGTAAACTATAAGCTTTCCCCGTTTGGAAATATTGTTGTTGAAGATCTGATTCACCAGTGTTCAATAAATAAGGGTTTCTTCACCCCAAAAGAATCTTCCAATTTCCAAGAGAGAATTGAGAGCGAAGCGTGATGGGGTTTGTTTTAGACGTTCACAATGATTCTTTGTCGTAAAAGGCAAGAAGCTGTTTGACATGGTTTTGCCAAGCTGCAACACTTTGACCATCTACAGTGACCCAATCCACAACTGTTGCTGCAGGCTGTTCCCAACATTCATCAAGCTGTGTTTTGAAAAAATACAAATAAAAACGTTATCAAGCTTCGTATATCCATAAATCTTAAAAACTAAAACATCGGAAAACACTGTCAAGCAGCTGTTATGTTTCTTATTTTATGGTTCAAGCAGAAGAGTATAGCTTAAGAACGTGATAGGACTACTATCTGATCCTGAAGAACAAGCATGACTACTTCGACAACAACATCCATTGTTACTCCATATAAACCTTGCAAATTAGTGTGTGAATGTACTCTGCTATGACCACAATGTCCATGCATATTAATCATAACAAGAAGAATTATGCTTTAAAAGTAGTTCCATACCAAACCCCTCACGTATTTGCAGTGCTCGGAGGTAGCTTGAGCATTCAGAACCGCAGTCTTAAGTTCAGGCAACCATTGCTCTGATATTGTTTTCTCTTGTTCAGTAGCTAGATCGAGGCAATAATTTGTTGTCCTGCATACAGTATTAACATAGACAATGCACAGAGAAAGTTACAACAGTGTAAGTTTACACAAGTCAAGAGATATCAATAAATAGCTTGGGGCACGTATACTAGAGTAGAAGGAACACACGACTTACCTTTCATATTTTTGCTGGGCTTGAAAAGCATGATCTAACAGAGAATGACCACTTTCAACTAGATCTTTCCGTATATGGACCAAATTGATTGCATTTGCTAAGTCTTCCAAAACGCATGCTTCAGAACCACGAACCCTTAAGCAGAACTCAAGAGACTCTAAAACAGAGCCCAAACTTGCATCTAAACCCTCCAGACCTATTTAACAAGCAAAAATATTGATCATTAGCCAATCCTACAAAGAAGACACTAAGAATTTTGAACTACGAAGAATTCTAAGTAATTTCATTTGAAGGTGGCTCCACTTTCTGTGGTTAAAACCGGCAACAGATCCAAAGCATGGCAATAATATGCAATAGTGGCTATCATTAAACCTTTTGGCTATTGTAGCATACCTCAATCTATGTATTAGGTAGATGAACCAACAGTGCTTAGAAAAAGTTTTTCTATGTCTGTTTTGTTTGATTTTGAATTGCATTGAAAGAGATTGTCATTCATAAAGGTAGTACTGAGCACTGGTTAATTAGGAAGCTCCTTGAAATATGAAAATCAAGATTACTTATGGTTCATTCAATGCACATGAATTCCCAAGGGATGAACTATATGCCTTCGAACTTTGGAAAAAGAGAAGATAATCTCACCTGCAGGATATTGAAGGGCAGAAGAAATGCGACATATAGATGGAATTGCAGATGGATCTCTTGCACCAGCTCTTGCAGTCAATATAGCAGCATTCTTCTCTGCATAGGCAACAGCTTCAGGTCCTGTCGATCCATTAGCTCCCATAGACTCCAGAAGTCCCTGATTAAGAAAATGTTTATATGAACAGGTCGAGGCATTTACATGCAAGTTCGCTAGAATGAAAGAACATGAAGTCTTCTAATTGTACATTCCATTACGCCTATGAGACCAGCATAAATGTTGCATTAACCATAAATTCCCAAACTTCTTCTGTGCTGCACATAAGACCCTTTGAACATATACCACGCTTTTCTATATGCAACTTCTATTCTTTTTGTATTTTTCAACAAATATCAGTCTTCAATTCTTAGTGATATATATCTTACGAATAAACTGAAACACACAGTTATCACGCATAAATGATACAATACAGCAGAAAATATCATTTCAAATCTTACAAACCTGGGGAGTTGCTGGAATCATATAGAGATTGTTATCAGGACTTTGGAAGAAAGCAGACACTTCTTTCTCAATGAAATCTTTTGCGCTGTTTGAAATGTCCACAACAACTTCACTGGCTGGAATTATAGTGGCTGCTGCGTATTCCCTTGCAGCTACTGGTTGTTGATTCCAGAATGTAACAGCATCCTATAAAAAATACAACATTGGGTCATAATATAGAGTAGTGCCCAGCCTAATTTTAACTTTATTAGTCCTATGACTGAATAAGTTGAGATATTATTACCATGTTGGCCTTGAGAAGAGTTGTATATATGGTTTCAAGTTCCAATCTGCGAGCATCAAATTCCTCAATTTTCTTCCATTTCTTTTTCAAAGAATCTTCAGCTTCTTTTCTTTCTGCACATAACTTATCCAGCCGTTGTATTTCAGATATTAATGTGTTTAAGCTAGCCCTCAAACCAGCAGCTTCTCTTTCCTTACCCCATACATCCAACTACAAAGGCAAAAAATTGGACAGCTTGTTCAAGCAGAGTATAGCAGCATGTACATAATACATTAAACATACTATGGACATTCATCATGACTGAGACACAGTAATGCAGAACCAATTACATACGGAATACAATCAACTCACGTGAAGCCTAAATAAGAGTGTTTTGATTTTCAGACTCATACAAGAACACGAGTATTAAAAACAGTCAAGTGAAAGGAGGGAAATATGGCATTTACCTCAAATCGCCTAAGGTTGCTAACACTCTGTGTTGTGCCTCCAGCAAGCGAATGTGAAGAAGCTGCAGCAGCACTTTCATGCAAACGGTTTATATATTTGTGACATAAATCACGGGCTTCTGCAGCTTTGTTTAGTGCATCCTCAGTAGCCAAAAATTGTTGAACATGCGCCTTCTGTACAAATTAGCATGGGTGAAAGGTAAGAAAAATGGACATTAATATAAGGCCATACGGTGCAACAACGAACATATGCAGCACTGAAAGACCCAAACGAAGCGATCTGTCTGAATTGAACATTGCTAAATTTGAAGCATAATTCTCCTTTCTCTATACGTCCAAATTAACAAGAAGAAAACCAGCAAAACTAGACAAAGAGAGTAACCTGCCGTTCAAGGAGCTGGTTGTTAGATCCTTGGGAATAAGTATCTGTGCCTATCTTCCCATTACCATTAAACTGATAACTCAAAGGCGAGCTCACATCAGACGAAGAATTGTCTGATACTCGGTTGTTCTCATACTTGTACCTATAAATAGATTGACATTTAACTACTTACATTAGCCTAAAGCAACTCTGGAACAAGAACTTAAAGCTCACATCAAGCGATAACAGAGAGTGGCATAAGAAGGAAATTCAGGACACACCTTAACGTTTCAGCATCTGCTCTGACATCAATCTTCTCCATCTCTCTGGATATCAAAGTCTTAATACGTAGAGTGTACGCAGCAATAGCCTGAAGCAGTAAAGGAGGAGCCCTCAGGGAATTTACTATAACATTTTTCATCTCATCAGATATTTCTCCATCATATTCAAAACCCAGCTTGGTAGTTTCAAGCTCACGATGTGAACAAATTCCATTTCCTTCGTACGCAGGGAAGGAGCCACGTATTCTTTCAACCATACGTGACGCAAGCAAATCACAAACTGTCCTGATATCTCGTTCTCGTGTTGTTTCCATGAGAATCACATCATCTTCAGACTTTGTTCCTTTGACAGTGGAATAAATAGCTTCCCTCTCACTGTAACCACTGAGGCTGCTTGATACCTCACTCGACGCATCAAGAGACCGTTGCGCATCCGTTGCTTGATCAACGTAGACTTGTAGCCTCTTGTGATACTCTGCAAATACTCTTGTTGCTTCATCACATTGTTGATCATAAGCTTCCAACAATGCTTGCTTGTGCCTGAAAAAAATGCGTTCCAACAGAGCCAGTTTCTAAATCCATGTCGCTGTTCATAAAGTTTAACGCTTTAGGGTCAAACAGAACATCAATGTCCCATTAAACAAACCAAAGCAACAAAACACACTGAAGAAAACACATGCAGCTATTTTTCTATTACATTCTTACAAGTGAGAAGCAAAAGTATCAAAATTCAAGATTGAAATCAAACACCACAGTCACATTGTTGATCATAAGCTTCTAACAATGCTTGCTTGTGTCTGGAACTTATATACTCTACATAACAGAACCAATGCGTTTCAACAGAGCTAGTTTCTAAATCTATGTCGCTGTTGATAAAGTTTAATGCTTTAGGGTCAAACAGAACATCAACATCACATTAATCAACCATAGCAACAAAACACCCTGAAGAAAACACATGTGAGAAGCAAAAGTAATCAAAATTATAAGATTGAGATCAAAACCTGTAACTTAATCTTTCGTCAAGCATCCTCTTCCTTTCCGCTTCTTCTCTAGAGACCTCCAACATTCTAGCCTTCAAATCTCTTCTTTGCCTCCTCACTATGTTCCTCAATCTCTCAACCTCCTTTAAAGCTACTTCCTTTTCCTGCAACGCAGCTTCTCTACCTTCTGCATAACTCGAAATCTCATTGTTCACCGTCTTTTCCTTCCGTCTTCCTTTGCCTTTACTCTCCTCCTTCACAACATTGCTGTTTCCACCATGAACCGTGATGTTCCTCCTAATCCTCTCCACCGTCTTCTCCGATTTCACTCGGTTTATCAAAAAACTCCAGATAGGTATCATGTTCCCTCTACAAATCTTCCTTATAGCATCAATGGAAGGGACATGAGATTTGCTTGTTCCACCATTGTACGGACCTAATTGCCTGTAACCCATTTCCTTCTGTAGCCATTCCAAAATCACCTCCGGCGTCGGAGGCGAGCTCGATATACTCTGCATACCTCAGAACTTCCGATAATTTCTACTCGTACATTGGATTTTGTCTTGTTCAAAATCCAAACAATCAAAAGCAGTCGAGAAGGAGAAAGAAGCAGACGAACAGATCTGGAGTTCCCGGATACTAATCTCGCCGATTTCCGGCGACGGTAAGAGGAGAAACTGCGACGGAGAGAGAGAGATATTTGAAATGAAGGTCCCGCTTGTTTCTTGGAAGTGCCGTCGACTAGTGAAACTAACCGGGTCGGGTTCGAAAAACCGGTGTAACTGGGTCGAATTATCCAATACAAAACATATGGGTTTAAATTAGAATATATTAAATTTCAAATCAAAACATTTAGGTCCAAATTGAATAAAGGTTAAAGTATAGGGATGGTTTCTAAAACTTTTTGTTCCCCTGGTTAAATTTCGACCAAAACCTGTGGATCAAAAGGTAGAAGAAGACAAAGACGGGAGAGAGAGAGAGGATCGCTATTATTCCGGGAAAAATCATTTTGCACTTTTCTTTCGCCGGAAAGTTTTCGGTTAACCTGAAAACCTTTCAATCAAAGAATCAGTCAACAGATTAATATAGTCTCTCATACCGGAAAATCCCAGGCTTTTCTCATTGCTTCTGGAGATTCTCAGGCCTTTTTCTCGAAGGTGCTCATCGATTCCTCTGTTTTTCTGTAAAAAAATTGTATTTTGATGATCAAGAGGATCGGTTTCGAAAACCCTTTTGTTCTGAAGCTATCGATGAGCTTATTTTGGTTTTGATCGGATTTATGCTTATGATCGAATATTTAAAGAATGAATATTTACCCTCAAACAAAGTCAGGATTCTAAAATTTTCGATTTCTGAAACTATTTAATTGTATTTTTTTTTTGTGATGTGTATTAGCTGATTCGATTTATTCATCATCGGTTGAAAAAAATGTAATTTTCTCTGTTTTTTTTACAGGTGATTCAACAACTGTAAGAGCAAGAGTTGTTGAACCAAGAGAGAGAGAGGATTCTGGTTTTGGCGGGAGGCAGTTGAAAATCTTCTGTGAAATTGGCTTCCTCTCTCTTTATAACTTGCTTCTTTGAAATTTGAAAACTTTTTGCTAGTTTGCTCAAGAGAGTTTGGAGTATTGATTCTGAAGGTTTTGTTAAAGATGGGAGCTCTCTGTTGTTGCTTTCAAGTTGATCTCTTTGAGAGTTATGTGAATCCAAACACTTCCATCTCTAGGAACTGTCCATGCCTTAACTGCTTCCTCCACAGTTTCATGGGTTTGGTATGTTCTTCACCTCCTTGTTTAATGGTTTCTTGTTTGTGTATCAATTACAAGTATACATCTTTGTTTCAGTCTCTTATTGCAAATTTGAAACTTACTATATACCATTATTGCAGTATACCTCAATATTTAACAGAGGAGGAATGCATCAGATACCTTCAACTGTTGAAGCTGCTTCAGTAATGAATTCCACAACTTCACTTGATGATGACTCATCTCTGTCAAGTATGTATCATTCTCCTCCTAGGCCATTGCCTTACGATGCTGATCCTAGGTACTTCCGTTTCGCTAAGGGCTCGAGCCATTCGGGAGAAGAAGCAGAACCATTAAGAGGTGATACTGAGATGAGTTCTGAAGCTTTGGGTGGTGGAGGAGGAGCCAAACGGAGTAAGTCTGATTATGAAGATGGTTCGAAAGAAGCGTATTCAAAAGGTTTGGTAACCAATGCAAAGTCCAAGACGATGCTGGGGATAGAATTTTCTTCTTATGCAGATTCGGATGATGAAGATATTTGTCCTACCTGCCTTGATGGTAAAACTAAAAATTCTTCTAGTTTGATGCTTACATTAGTCTCTTTGAATCCACTTTATAAGTAGCTTTCTCCTGTTCCTTGTTTCATTTCTTCATTCAGTCCCATTCCTGAGAGATTAAGTTATTAATTAGCTTTAGTTCTTAGGATAGTGACTCTCAAGAGGTCATATAAGAACATATTGAGTGAAATCTGAAGTTTAGGATTAGGTTTCTTGTGATCTCCTGTAGTTTATGTTAAATTTGGATAACTCAACTCAATTCATAAAGCAAATCGTTGAGAGTGATTTGAGGTAGTGTTTGTTTTTTCAGTAATCTTATGTTTCCTCAATGTGCAGATTACACGCCAGAGAATCCGAAGATAATCACAAAGTGTTCTCACCATTTTCATCTTAGCTGTATTTATGAGTGGATGGAGAGAAGTGAAACCTGCCCTGTCTGTGGAAAGGTAACTAGTTGTTATCTACGAAGTTTCAAAATTTCAGATTTGGTCGAATGTTAACATCAATCTCATTCATTAATAAATAAAGTGCATCAAAATTGTATAGAACTTGCCATTAATGATATCTTTTTGGAGATAGAGCAGACTGATTCTTACCCAATTTACAATCTAATTACTGCAGGTGATGGCATTTGATGAAACTGGCTAAGAAGGGAACAAGAAAAAGGCAGTGAGTCTTTGCATAATTAAATAACACAGAGAGAAATCACTTGTACATAAAGATCTTCTGTGAAATTGTGAATATCCAGATGCCTTTACAGTAAATATGAGAAATTGTGATGTCTCCTTGATTTTATAGACTCATTACCTAAACATTTATCTTCAATATGATTTTATTGGAATGATGAAATCTTTTATCTAGAAAATGATTTCTTATAGAGCCTATTAGGAGAATGCAAATCAGAACAAAAAGAAGAAGAAAAATGTTGTTTGAAATTAACTTATCTAAATCATTAGACAAACCATCAAAATCAGATACCGAATCTGTATTGATTATTACACCAACTTACTGAAAGTGGGAACTCAAAAAGCTCAAACAACAAGACACAGACATAAACTTCAACAACCTCTTGAGTTCACTGTTTTGTGTTTTAAGCTCAGGCCGCTTCAAACGCACTCTGGAACGTCTCCGGCGGTTGCGCACCACTCAGTTTCACCTTCCCATTGATCTGACAAAACAATACAAAGCAGAGACACAAGACTTACCACTTCGGTGATACTCACTGTAATTACAGCATCACCATTACACAAAAACTTACAGTGTAATGTGGAACTCCAGTGATATTCCGTGAATACTTCTCCATCTCTTCTTTAACCTTTCATTACAAAAAAAAAGGATAGAACATATATCATTTAATATTATCCTAAAGAAGAAACACTGAAGATCATATGATCCAGCAAAAACACACCTCTGTGACTCCATTGTTAGGCTCTGAGAGATATTCTTCTGCTCCTTCTATGCTAAGCTTTTTGGCCGTCTCAACCAAAAACTCCCTAAATTCATCCACAAGCGTCATATATAACATCCAAGGCTAAATCAAGAACTAACAAAACCGTTTCATATATTCTAAAGACAAGAGCTTTGTGTATATATATATACCTGTCACCAATGAACTTTCCCTGTGTGAAGTAACCGAGACACAACTCTTCAACAAGGCTATGCTGTTTCTCCGGTGCGTGCTTCCCGGTGTAATGTATAAGTCTATGACTATCCAGAGTGTTGCCTCTGTTCATATCACCAAAACATATAGCTAAGAAAAAGAAAATATAAGAGATCTCTCTTCTTGGTTAAAGAATGGTGCTTACGTGAGACCTGATGTGTCATACTCTAACCCAAAACCTCCAAAGATCTGTAAATGAAACAAAGATTGTTTTCAAGATTCTCTCAACAAGAACATAAGCTTTCTTAAAAGATTTGTAAGTTTAATAAACCTCGGACATTCTTGTGAACATTCCTTCAACTCTGTTTCCAAATTTCTGTCGATAAAACTCTTTCTTGTTCACACCTTCTTTGGGTGCAGAGGCATCAAGGAAAAAAGGATGCCATCGAATCTACATTGTTAAAAAGTTGAATTACCATAAGCATCTCTCTCAATCATTCTCCCAAAGTTAAACAAAATAAAGAGAGTGAGAGTTTAACCTCAAAGTTGTATTGGTCTTTAGATGCATCAATGGCTTTGTCAAGATTCTTTTTGCCCACAAAGCACCATGGGCACACTGTATCCGAGCCTACATCGATTTGGATGAGCTTTTTTGGAGCTGTGTTGCTTGCAGACTCAGCCATTGGGAGATCTTTCTAGCCAATTTCAGTCAGAAATCAGAAATCAAATTTAAGAATTCAAGAACTCATTAAACTCTGAAACTAAACCAAAAGCAAAGACAAAAACTTGATCTTTAATATCAGAAAACAGGGCACTTGGATCCAAATCTTAGATTGGATTCAAATTTTAGGATTCAAGAATCCATTAAACTCAGAAACTGAACCAAAAACAAAGACAAAAACTTGATCTTTATTATCAGAAAACAGGACACTTGGATCCAAATCTTAGATTGGAATCAAATTTTAGGATTCAAGAATCCATTAAACTCCGAAACTGAACAGAAACTTGATCTTCATTTTCAGACAGCAGGGCACTTGGATCCAAACTGTTCAAATCGCATAATGTTTTGCCATCTTTGGTCACATTAAAGAATCATCTCGAAATCTTAATTTGGAATCAAATTTGAGAATCCATTAAACTTAGAAACTCAACCAAAACAAAGACAAAAACTTAATCTTCAATTTCATACAACAGGGCACTATGATCCAAAACTGTTCAAACTACATAATTTTCTACCCATATTGATCACATAAAAGTTTTTATCTTTAAAACTGCCTTTGAATATCTTTATATTGTAAATGGCTCAGAGCGAGAAAAAGTTCTAAATTTTATTCGTCTGCAACACCAAATTCTCTCTACACCACCCAAATTTATTGTTCTGACACGCCTTTGATCAAACAACAAATTCAAGAACTGGACTTTAGGCTTCGGATTTTTTTATGTGGATGAAAAATTTCAGATTAGTGTCTGTATGAGAACGATCCATTCCAAATTGTACAAATATCTACGCATTACAAGCACATGAGTATTAAATGATGTAATGGGTTTACCTGGAAAAGATTGGAGGAAGAAGATCGTGAACCTTATGGAGAGACAAGTCAAAATAGTTTTTTTAGAGAAATTACACCAATCATCATCATTCACCAACCATGACAAATTCATCGCATATCCTTTGACTAACAATCGATGAAAAAAAAATTATTTGAATTGCGTTATTTATATTTTTTGTAGATACCAAACAAACGGCCCATTAGCTCAGTTGGTTAGAGCGTCGTGCTAATAACGCGAAGGTCGCAGGTTCGAAACCTGCATGGGCCATACTTTATTATTCCATTCTTTTTTCCTAAGCTACTTTTAATTGAACGAGTCTTTCAATAGTGTAACTTGACCGACTCTTTAAACAAGACAAGTTCTTCTAACAATGTAAGTTATTGACTATGCACTACCATGGTCATGAGTAAATCATCATGCATGATCTCATATCTATTTCTGATATTTTGTGTCACTTGCTTACGTCTAAAAGACACTTCATCTCGGTTACAATTCTACAGACTATTATAGTCAACGAAAATAAACAAGTTAAGGACGAAAGGGTCAAATCCAGAATAACTCAATTTTACCCAAAGGTCCCAAACATGTAAAAGTAAAAGCATGCCATGTGTGAATTAAAATGTATAAGAAGGTGTAGTTTTCTGTATTAAGGCTAAAATACAACCATTTTCTACATCATAACAAATAAAAAAACTGTAGCTGTATTTATAAGTATGCATGATCTCTTTTCCTTTTCATTTATAAGGAGTCTTTATGATCGACACGAAAAAACCCTTCAACCATACTACTATAATTCTTTTGATCTTCTTTATTTTTTTATTTTTATTTGATCTTATTTTGAGAAGTATAAAGATGCTTTGGAAGTTTGGAACCAAAAATATAAATTTGGAAGTGATAAGTGGATAATTCATGGCTGAAACCACATGCACTTAATTAGCTGGTGCTCGTCAATTGATCTACGATTAAAAAAAAAAGTTCAAATTAATGTGAAAAGGTAAAACATTCGACAAAAACATTAATTATCTAATCTCTTTACACTTCTCATTGACATCCATTTATATTGGTTGATATAGTCGTGTCTTATCATCTAAAGAAACAATCAAACTAAACCAACAAGTGTTAACATTTTAACAAATCCCAACAAATTCACATCTGACCTTTTGTTGTTCGAGTCACTGAATTGCACGTGCGATTAAAGTATTATTAAATTTAGAACTTTTAGCCAAAAAAAAAGTCGACTGAAAAATCATTCAGTAAACCTTTAACGTCTACTTTTTTAAACTGTATAAATGTTCGCCAACTCTTGCCATCTCAATTCTCAAGTGCATTTATGTTTATTAAAGAAACATAGTTCTTAATTTTAATTTTCTATATTTTTGTGGAATTTAAACATTAGCACCATAAGCACAGTACGTAGTGTGTTGTGGGAATACAATTAAAAAAAAAAAATCTTAACTATTTCAAAACGTCTACTTCATCATTTTCGTATTTCTTGAATTTGAAGTGTATACGGACTAGTTCAATACCTAAACTCATCTATAAATTGAGCTCTAAGTCTCACAGTTTCTTATCTCTCGATCAAAACCTAATTTCAAGAAACAAAAAAATCTTCCTCTCTTTTAAGAATTGGTTCAACTAATATAGGGCAATGAAGAGTCTCTCATTTCTTACAGCTCTATCTCTCTTGGCTATAACGCTTCACTTAGTCATAGCTTCTGACCCGAGCCCTCTTCAAGACTTTTGCGTCAGCACCAACACATCAGCAGATGCTGGTATATGCATCATGAATTTTAATCATTTTTACTCTTATTTTTTCATTGATTTCTTTGTTTTTGTTTGTCCACAACATATATACTTAGGACGATTCAGATATCCAAACTAAGAATACCAAATTTACATAGTCCATTTAGTTCTCTTTTCGTAACACTTTTTTTTTGTTTATGTGGTTACTATCTTCAGTTTTTGTGAACGGAAAGTTTTGCAAGGACCCGAAGCTCGTAACAGCAGATGACTTCTTTTACTCGGGGCTCCACGAGGAAAGAAGTACTGCGTCTAGTCCAGTTGGATCTGTTGTGACAACCGTCAATGTTAACAACATTCTAGGGTTAAACACTCTTGGAATCTCAATGGTCCGTATAGATTATGGAGTCTACGGACAAAACCCACCTCACACGCACCCACGTGCCACCGAGATCTTGTATTGCGCAGATGGAACTCTTTTAGTAGGTTTTGTCACATCTAACGGAGATGGAAACCGCCTATTCACCAAAACACTCAACGTGGGTGAAGTGTTTGTGTTTCCAGAGGGACTCATCCATTTCCAAGTGAACATAGGACAATCAACCGCGGTTGCATTTGCTGGTCTGAGCAGCCAAAATCCAGGTGTTGTCACTATTGCGAACACTTTGTTTGGGTCTAAGCCATTGATCGACCCCAAATTTCTTGCAAGGGCATTCCAGTTGGACCCTTCGGTAATTGTGGACCTACAGAACAAGTTTCAACAAAAAACTTAAAAATATATTTTGCTTTATTTTGCTCCAATCTTATGTATCTCCATTTGAATAAAGATCATGGTAACATGGCATGATGTTTGTCGTTGCTTACTTGCTTTTACCTTGAAAAAATTATAATTAAATAAACCAATGTTTTTATGTTGTTAAAAATGGACTAATTTTGTGAATATTCAATTTCAATGTCAATTAGGATATTGGTCCGCATGCATGTGCAAGCATGAACGATTTTAAAAATATAATTATTTAAATACAATATTTAAATCCGTTTTAAATATTTTGATTTTTTGTAATATATGAAATTTAAAGTCAGTGTTTTGAATTATAAGACTTTAAATTAAATAGTAAAATATGACCTAATTTTAACTAAATATTTTGTTATAACCAGAAATTCATTTATATTTTGAGACAGACTTGAAAAATAATTATTAAATTTTGAAAACACAATAATTAATTTTCTATGATCAGACTTATTTTAGATGGTCAAATGGGTCAAATCCGTAGATAGCTGGTTACCTTCTTCGGATTTGCGGATCAGGCTGCAAATTTTATCTTCTCTGCCTTTTTTTTTTGAACAAACGTTTTTTATTTTCTTTATCTTTCTATAATCTTCCTCAACTTAAAACATTATTTCTTCAAGGATTCCGTCATTGTTGGTCTCGATCTACTCATATGTGCGATTTTTCTACTTATTATTTTATCAAGTAGACTCTAAAAATAATTGCAAGATCATCTCCACTTAAGCATCAAGTGTTTCAATTAACCATATTGCAAGACATGTTTCAGCGAAGGTTGGATATAAAACTCTGTTTACTGTCATAATATCTTCAAAACATACTGGTCTTCTCTGAACATTTAGCAACATTTTAGGTAGAAAAACTCACCATATTCTTCTGAGACTTCTGGAAAGCTAATATCGTAAGGAACATTATTTTTTCTGTTGCGAGGGAGCCACTTCTTAAATCTTTTATGCCAAACTCATTTGTTTGGAAATTCAGTATAGCGATAAAACCTTGCTTCATTACACTCACGATTGGAGTGATCTATACAACCTTCAAGTTTCATTTTTGCCATATTTGATTTAGATAAATGGATTGATAGAATTGTAATGCCCGCACTTTGAGTTAGAGTTTGATTTGTTTATTAGGGTTTGATTTGTTTAATACTTATGTGTGTTGTGATGTTTTCTTATATAGAGATCCAAGTATTTAACTTTTTCATTAGTTATTTGGGATGAACATATGTTTATATGGATCTTTTTGGTTTTTATTAAATGGATATTAAACTTTTCAAATAATGTATAGGATAATGATTTTGGTTTTTCATTAGATGCACGTTAATTTTTTAGGATATTCAACGTTTGTTACGAAAAATAATGTAGAAGATTATTAAATCGAAATCTTATATTTATATTTGTTATTATTTTTAAACTAAACTAATCTTTTTAAATTTTGAATGTTCTACAGAAGATTACAATAATATTTTATTCTGTTATTATAATTTCGCCAACTAAAGTATGTGAAAACATATGTGCACATAAATGAAGCACGCCTTTACAAAAAGTATGAATTATTTGGTAAATGATTTGATCAATGTGATTTTGTTATTATAATTTTGCCTATTGAAGTATATAAAAATATATGTGCATGTATTCCATATGAATATAGTATTATAATATATATAGATATGTATGTATCTATATGGAAAGTCACAGTGGTCCATGACAGAGTTATAGTAAATTTAATAGATCCATAGTATTGTAATATATATATTTATATATGTGTATTAAAATCATCACGTTCAGCCCAAAATTCATCTATTATTATCCATATAAATGAATAATAATATATCAGGTCATTCGTAATGCATCTAGTGAATAATTCCAGATTTAGTTATTAGTATACTAAATTTTGTCATTTAATTAATTTTTTATTAATGAAAATATCACAAAAATAATCTTTTTGCCATGTTATAAACCACATGTGTTAGTAAATGCCATGTCACAATTTAATTAGGATAGAGAAAAGATTTTAACCAATCAAATTAAAACAAATCAACATTTTTCATTAAACTACATTCTCAATTAATAGGTAGAGGATAGTTTTAAACACCATCTCGGGAAAATCACGAGAATGTCTATTTTGTGATGGAGTTTTTTTTTTTTATAAAAAAAAACAAAAAGATAAAGTCCATCGTCCAATCATTTTCTGATGAATTCGCAACCACAAATTTATGCTATTAAACGAGTCATAGGACTTTGACACATTATATATATATTTCTTTTTGAATAAGATCACATTTTATATATGAATGAAATTGGAGCCACATTTGGTCAGCGCTAACGAGAGATTAGCTCCAATAGATTCATGATAGCACAGTTATACATAACATGAATTACATCAACAAGAAAATATCTTAAAATAGTTAAATCGTAAGACAACTATATATATATATATATATTTCTGAAGTTCTTTTCTGATTTATTGGGAAGCTTAATTTAGGTCTCAGTTACTAAACACGAATTTGCACAAAAATTATATTTTCATTGTTTTGAATATTAGGCTTCTCATCAATAAATATTTTTTCTTATATTGGGAGATCTCGGGATGACGAGATCGACATGAACATATTTCCTCCTCGTTATTAGGAAAGTTAACATTAATGTGTATATTACTTTACTGTTAAATATGTAGATTTCCTATATTGAATATGTAAAGAACTTGCTAAACAAGTTATAGAGTTTATATAAATAAGCCTATTAGTTAATGAATAAAGATGAGAAAAAACTATTATACTACTAAGGTTTCCTCCAAATTTATCATGGTATCAGAGCTAAGATCCAATTCTTATGGGTTTGAGTTTTGTTATTTTCAGAGCAATAGTCACATATAAAAGACTTTGTTCGATCATTGGCTGCCTACTGCTACAGATCTATCTTTCTATTAATTTTTCTTCTTTAACTATATAGTTTTGATTTTTTTTTTTTTAAAAAAAAAGGAGAGAGGAGGACGTGCTTGTCCAAACTTCTTAAGAAATTCAGGTTTTTTTTTGCTAATATTTATTATTCTCTTTTCTTGGTTACTACTATATCTTAAAAAAAAAAAAGTTATGTGCTTTGATTTCTTAAGATTTTCGTTGGTTTTCAAAGTTTACGTGATGTTGTTCTTTTTGGATTCTAAATTAGTTTTATTTATTTTTAATTATTTTATTATGAACCTAAAAAAAAAATAAACAAGTTCTTATTTACTTCGTATGAGAGCTACGTTGTTATTATTATTTCGTGACTTAGTACAACTAGGTTTCTTATGCTTGCAACTTGGACGCTATTGGTTATGATGATGACTTCAACGGATATATACTGATCCGGCGGTGATGATGATGTGATTGAAGTTTATGTGGACTATGAACATGAATCAATTGTTGGGTTCGTTCAGTTCACATGGTGATATAATGACGAGACGATGGAAATACACAACACTACGATAATGATGTATTTTTCACCGAATCGAAAACCTTGTGGCGAGGTATAATGCCATTGATGACCCGAAGGTTGGGTATAAACACTGTGAAGACGATCTGAAGATTTGTCCAATCTCATACGTGTTACCATGTATGAGCTTGCGGGAGGGTATTGGGAGATCTCGGGATGACGAGATCGACATGAACATATTTTCTCCTTGTTATTAGGAAAGTTAACATTAGTGTGTATATTACCTTACTGTTAAATATGTAGATTTCCTATATTGAATATGTAAAGAACTTGCTAAACAAGTTATAGAGTTTGTATAAATAAGCCTATTAGTTAATGAATAAAAATGAGAGAAACTATTATACTACTAAGGTTTCCTCCAAATTTATCATCTTAGAAATAAGAAAAGAAGAGAGGTAGGTCGAGACAAGAGACCGAAAAGAGAGAAAAAAAGCTTGTAAGAACTGTGATTTTATAATGTGGTGAAAAATGGACGAAACTCTGTCGTCGAAGCCATGAACCATTATAATTTTGAGTGTGGTTTTATTTCTTGCATTATTTGTTTTCTAGAATATCGGATTTGGGATGATCACTATTCACGAGAATGACTAATATTCAGAGCGTGCCAATCTTAATAACTTGAATAAGCGAATATTAAAAAAAATGCCTTTATTTATAAAAAATAAAAATTTTATAATAATAACTAGAAGTATTATATAGCAAAAACATTAAAATAAAACCAATAAACTATATTGTAGTTCTAAAAGTGATTTTTTTTCTTTTATTTTCCATAAAATTGTTAACTAAAATTTTAAAATCATTAGTTGATCATAAATAAAAACTATTTAGAGCAATAGCTAAAAAATTAAGAAAAAAATTAAGAACAATTTTACCTTAATTGTAGCTAATTGTTGAAAAATATTGTATTAATGAACATCTCAATATTATATAACTTATTTTTTTCTTTACTCTAATTCTTTAATAATAGAGTACTAACAATTTGATATATTGTTAACTTTTCTTTTGTAAACCCATTTATAGGCCTATACCCAAATTTAAGATTAATACAATATAACTAACAATAAATATAAATTATTAAAATTTTCTTTTAAATTGCTGCTCTATAATATATATTTTTTTTTGCTGCCCTGCAACAATATGTATTTTCAATACACATAGACACGGCTCTGCTAATACTACAAGATATGGGTTATTGAGTTTTTAAATAAGAAGTTGGCGCTGTTGAAGTTGAACTATGAAATTTATTACTAATAAAAGTTGATGCTAAATGCCTCTAAGGGTGTCCACATATGATTTAAAGATTTAATTTTATTGATACACATCTTCATTATTTTTTAGTTAATTATATATGGTATATTAAAATTAATTAATTCGTTTTAATTGTTATAAGGAAAATTTCTAATTTTTTTTTAATTTTGTTTTTATTGTTATTAGGAAAGTTTCTAAATTTAAGTTAGTTATTAATAAAAAGGAGTTTTGAAAATAGATCTTATTTTTCTATTAACAATAAAAAGGTAAATTAACGGATAAATAGATTATGAAAGAAAAATCGTA